ATGGCTATTTATTTGTTTATATGGCGACTCAGATCTTTAGCTGCTCTTCGAAATTTAAATTAACTACCAGCAAAATTAAAGTTTAAAATACGCAAAAACACTCGGCCACATGGAGAACTATTTTAGGATTCGCCACGACCCGACTAGAGTGGATACCAAAAATAAACTCCCACCGAAAATATTTCATTCCCTCTGTGATTTGGCGTGGCATTAGCGTTAGTCACGTGCCCAACTCCCACTCACACTGCCAGCACTCGGCCCCACTCGACCCAGGCCATTTGGCGAAAATCCCTGGAGGCGAGAGTCCCGCATTCGGGAGTCGTTGTCCTTTTTATTTTGGCCCCTGCCTGGCGCTGCCTTAATTATCCTGCCATTGGTAATTATGCGACACAAAGCAGAAGTGGGGCTGCCTACATCCATTATACAACATTCCACAGAGAGAGACGGAGACAGAGAGTGGGACAGGATACACAAAGTGTATAGAAAGAGGCACAGAGAGTGGGAGAGCACCGTGTAAAGGCAGAGAAGTGGAAAAGTATGCTGCATTTTAATTGAAAATAGCCTTGCAAGTGTCGCGGACCCGGAAACCGGAAGTCAGCAAACGGCAGCAGGTGCCAGGCACCTGGCAACACTCTCTCCTCTCACCCCTACCCGCTCCCTCTACTCCCCTAATGAAATATTCATTTATAATCGATAATTCCGCAAAAAAGAAAGCGCAAACATAGAGAAACATGCGGCGGCATAATAAGTAGGAAGCAGGAAAAAGGCTTTGTCAGACTCGGCCCGCTACCATGCCCCCTGCCACTTGGCCCACTCCCTACCTTCGACCCAGACCAGCCGCATTGCATGCCGCCGCCACGAATCGAGGACGAGAGTCGAAATGTCTGCAACGAGCAGCAGCAACAGCAGCAGCAGCAGCAAAAAAATACACAAAAAATTCCAATAATTTTAGCACAAAATTTATACGCAACTTACGAAGGATCCTCCAACCCCCCTCGAAAACTGTACGACTTTTGCTCTATGCCTTGGTTTATGGTCACAGTTCAAAGACCAAACACATGGCTGATAACTTTATGTAGGTCCAGAATGGACTCTGCCCCGCTTAGGTCATTAGTTTTTCAAGCCAATAATAAATTTATGTTACTAGCAAAAGCTATGGCAAGACACGCACTCACACACATTAGTTTAAAATGCATAGAGACAGAGTTTTCCTTTTCGTTTTCGTTTGCTTTTGCTAGAGAAAATTTATGAAAATTTGATAATATTTGCGAGTGGAATATTTGTGAATGTAGGAGAAGTGTATGTTAAGTCTTAAGCTTCTGTGCATCTTGTCTTATTTTGGGGAATTTCATTTAGGGAGTGACCTTTCGAAGGAGCCTCTTAAATGCGTCTTCAACTATTGCTAGGCAGCGACTTTCCATGAGGTTCTGCAAACTAATAATTCTTATGGAATTCTTCTTTGTTTTTAATGTACTTAATGCCTCAAGGAACCTGCTCATGTACAGCGCATTTCTATCACATTTTTACTTCCTTGTTTGCCTTAATAAACCATTTCATGTTCATGAGCTGCTGTTTGATGTGGTTTTAGGGTTATCCGATTGCAGCTGTCTTCATGTCTTTCTTAATTCCTTTAAGCGCCTTTCTATTAACATTTATACATCAGCTTGTTGAGGTTTTTTTATTCAAAAGCAGCTGCAAAAAGTTAACAAACATTTTTCTAGATTTTTCTTCCTAGTTTGCTGAATGCAACAAAAAATGTCTAAAGAAATGTTGAAGCCAAAATCCAATCCAATCCTTATAATTGGCTCTAAAAAGATGACCATAATTGTATTTTTAATACGCAAAAATAGATTATTTCTTCTGATGCCACATCCATGCCTTGGCATGACCTTTGTGGTGGTCACAACTTATTGCAATATTTGCCAAACAGTTGTGTATTTTCAGAGCGAGCATTTCAGTGCTCTTCGGTTTATTGCTGGCTGGACAAGTCATTACAGCAATCCATATTAATACGAAATTGCCATGCAATATGGCTGAATTTTTAGCTGGAGCAGAGAGTCCAACAAGCGGAGAGGCAAACCAAGCGAATCCCCATTAAAAATTCTATTAAAAGTTATTTACGGCAACTTTGGTCCATTGAATGCGACAAAAGTTGCACATCGTATGGATGGGCATGGGCATGGGCTGTGCTGTGTGATTGTGTACTTAGGAAGGAAAGGCAGACCAACCAACTCAGCCATATACTCGTACGTACTCAACTCAAACAAAAAAGCAACAAGAGGCGGGTTGGAGGGGGCTGTGCGGCCGAGGGCATTGTCTATGCACGTTCATAAATAAGAAATGCAGCACGACGCCAAACCATTGAGCTGGTTGAGTGTGTCCCCAACCCTTGAAGCCCAGTACTAGCCTCTGTCTTGTGCTGTCCTGCAGGCTATATGAGTCCTAAACGCCAGCGCCCTCCCCCCCATACCTTTCACTCATTTGACAATAAATTTGCATACACAGCACTTGCACTTCCGGGAGGAGTCGCTGGCGGTGGCTGCCGTCGAGGGCTGCCCTGCAGGAAGCCGAAGTCGGTTTATATGCAGATGAGCATAATTGATTTCAAATTGTCGAGAAGGAGCTGCAGCCTGTAGTCTGGAGGAGCCTGCAATTGAAGTGCTTAATGCAAGCGAATCGATGGCATAAGATAGAGCATGATTGTCCTTTGTGCAAGTTGCTGACAAGGACTCTCATTAGGCGCACTCGATGGGTACTTTTCCAATATTTTTCTCTTGCCAGCAGCAGCAGATTATATGCAGCGATAATAACCACAGATAAGCGTGTGTATAGGTGGGGGTCAGAAGAGGGTGGTGGAGTGGGTGGGGTAAGGTTAGGGCCAGTTCCCAAACCGGAGGCTGGGGACTTTCTCGCGCTCAAACTAGAGCAAGGACAACACGAACAGCAAACGTCGACGCAGCAGCAGCAGCAGAGGCTAAGGCTCTGGTTTTGACAGCAACAAAAACTTTACACAAAAACAACAACAGCTGAAAAACAGCCAAAAGAGAGAGCAGCGTGGAAGAGATGCAGCGTGGAGAGAGTGTGACAGAGAAGTGGGACGAAGTGGGAGGCGTGGAAGTGTGTAAAAGAGAAGGAGAGAGCGAGCGAGAGTAAATTCATACATACATATATCTGTACATGTACATATGTGGCACTCCTATCACTCAGTTCCGTTCCGTGTGTTGACTGGCCAGCTGCATTTGCTCTTGTCCTGCTGCCGCCACTGCTGCTCCTCCTGCTGCATGCCACTGCCACTGTCGCTGCCTGTCCACCAGAGTATTTGCAGCAGCAGCACCAACAGCAACAGCAACAGCAACAGTAGCTACAGTCCCAACGTGTGACGAAGCTTTGCATACCCTGGCCGGGTAAGGTTTCAATTTGGGAAGATATTTTGAACACATTAAGCAACAGCTGGGTGCACTTTGGAGTGGTTTGTCTTTACAAAGAAACGGACAGGGCTCTTGATATCGTAGTACTTCGATCAGCCTCATTCCGATTATGGCAAAAACCTACTAAAAATCAGTATACCCTCCTCCAGGGCATGACAAACAGAACGAATGACAGCAAAGGAGCATAAGCTACCTTCATTTTGTGTCCTGATTATGACAACTCAAGGCGAATGAATGCTGCTGGACAGCAGAAAGGCAGGCAGGAGGCAGTCAGTCAGGCAGCAGGAATTCAGGCAGTCCATGTCGAAAATTGTTGAAATTCTCCAAGGAGTTTCTTTTTTCATACACATGCACCTGTCTGTGTTAATTGCAGGTGTGTGAGTGTGTTTGTGTGTGGCATAAAAATGTTTCACAACAACAACAAAAATAATAAAAATTGCAACGCGCAGCGGCATTGATGTGTGGCTGGAGGCACCGCACCGCACTCTCGTACCTGGTGGCAAAAGGGAAAACCAATTCGATTTAATTTCAAGTTGGCAGCCACCTCATCTGGAATCTGGAATGCGAAGTGTGGCATGCAGTGTGTGGCATGTAGGGGGGGGGGGTTTATCAGGGACCTTGCATCAAACGCAATTAAAAATAATAAATGGAAAACGTGTGGCGGAGTACCGAAGCGGAGTGGTTCTGGTTCGCTCTGTTTCTCTCTCGTAATTAGAAGTGAATGTGAATGATGAATGAAAGATGGCAGATACTCGTTCGTACTCCTGCTCGTACTCCTCCGTGTTGCTATGCATTAAAGTGATTGATGATCTAGCAGGAATAGCCAGTGATTGCTAAGAAAATATTTATTATTTTATTATCTTTTTGGTTGGGAAAATACGAGAGAGAGAATATTGAGGGTAATATGAGATGAAGACGGGGCGAAAGACAAGCAAGAATTATGAATGAAGTGAGGTGGAAGAGCTACGCCCTCTTGTCTGCATTTAAATCTATTTAAATTTGAATTTCCCATTCAGTTATTCCTCGGCATTCACCTCTCGCTGTCCCCTAACTTTATTGTCTTTTAAAGCCTAATTTTATTAACAAATACAAACAAAACTGCTGTGAAAGTTCACATAGCTCGAGGCTGCGGCTGGAAGTGTATGCTGATTGGCATCACCCAAGGGGGAGGCACACGCTGCGGCACACATGGCGTATGAGTGACAGCCGAGCCGCGGCAAGCGTCAAACTCGACGACGACTCATATCAAATTACCGTTATGGTTATGCACAAATGCTTGGGGCAGGACGTACATAGCTTGGAGGTTGTGGCATGATGGTCTGGGGCCACCTCTAATGAGCGTCGGGGGCCAGTTGCTCTGACAGTTATCAATTTCTGTGGCATATCAAATGGAGCAAAAAACAAAAAACAACCAGAACGTAGCCTCATTTGCTGTCTTCCTACATTCTTATACTTTCAGCTACGTGGGGAGACAAAGACAGGGAGAGTGAGAGTGACAGAGAGAGAGAGAGAAAGTTATTGAAAGTTTGAGGGGCAACCATCGGTGATGTGGGACACATCCCGCAACGGGCAATGCAACAACCCCAACGTTTCATACCGTCTGTATCTGATCTATATGGGACGGACGAGATAGAACTGCTGCTGGACGAGATACGTGAGCTGGAGCTGGAGCCGGTCTGCTGTCAGCTGGACGATGAGCAGGACTTTGAAATAGCTGGCAGCAGGGCCGGCGAGCTCTCGCTATCCCTCGAATCACCGCTGGGCACATGCACCTCATGGGATTCGCATGCCAACTACAAGCAACGCAGCGGCGCCACACCGCTGCCATGGGGCGTTGCCCTACACTGTGATCCGCAACATTTGAAAACGCCTACAGGGATTGTGCGCATACTATTGGTGGTAAAACAATTATAAACTTTAGTTAAATATCTAAACTAATATATTAATTGCTCTTCGTAGTTATCCTCGGCCGCTTGCCTGGCCTGCGAATGTTCAGCGGGCACGGTACAGGTGGGCCTCTTTCTACTGCCACTCATTGGACGCCTGAGACTGATGGTCTTCTGTGCGCTCTTCTCGCTACTCATCACATGTCTCATGATCTTTCTGGATATATCGCATATAGCGCTCATGTTTCCATTCAATTGGACTAAAGTGGTGAGTCTGATGACAAATAAACTCCCAGGAAACTCCATCTCTAATGCCATTTCTCTCCCCAGAATACGTGGATGTACCTGAGTATTGGTTTGATATTTATTTTGAGCTCCACATTGCTTGTCCACATGGTCCTCTGTGCCACGGAATACACATGGGTATCAAAGCACTCCAAGGACACACTATTAGCCACAGGCGTAAGTCCTTATAGCAACCACATTTATAGTTATAAAACCCTAAATTTGCTCCTGTAGATTATTGGATATGTGTGCGCCTTGGAGGCATTTCTTTTATCGGGCATCGCATCCTGGCCATGGACTCAGTATCGTCAGGTGCCCGACGATGCCAGCGAATTGTTTATCGAGGATCGCGAAATGACACCGATGAGTCCCATTATTTGTAGCACCGAGCTGCATGCGACGCCATATCATAATGGCAATGCAGCCAGCGGTGGGGAACTATATAACCAACAACAACAATCGTCCTATAATCAAAAGCCTTATATACCTGGTAAGATCAATGAAGAATCTGCTACTGCATTTATAATTATCTTAATAATTATTCTCTCGTGCAGCCAAACGACCCGATGTGCTCAACAATCAGCGTCCAGCATTGGGTCACACACAAACCGCACGGACAAAACCCAATCAGCGTTATCGTGAGGGCTACCACTATCACACATCCCGCCAGAGTCCCACATTCGTGTTAGGCGATGATCAGGGTGCCGGTCCATCCACGTCCCGTTCCAATGATAATTCTAGTGCGTGATAGTTTTTAAATTCCTCAAGAAGAAACCCCCAAAACAGCAGAGAAGAGAAGACAAAAAGCAGACGATGATGCAGAAGGAGGACAGCCCCAAGTAAAATAATGAATTGTAATTGTTTTTCTCAGCTATAAACTGGAAATAACAGCAAAATTTGAAGCATGTTGAAGCATTTTGGTCAATGTAAGAAGTGAAAAAAAAAACAAAACAAAATTGTTAATTAGTTAAAACAAAAACAAAAACAAAAACAAACAAACAGAAGCAAAACTCGTGGATGAAAAAAAGTTGAGTGGAGAGCAACACAGAGAGAGAGAGAGAGAACAGAGAGAGAAAATATTTAAGCAGCGCCGAGCAAAGCAAACAATAATAAATTTAATACAATTGTATGTCTGTGTGTGTACTACGAGCCGAGAAAGAGAGAGAAATTTAAAGAATTTAATGAAAGCTAAAGATACAAAGTAAAAGTTTTGAAAGAACAGCAGGAAGAAAGATCCACAAGATCATTGCCCATTTGATTAGTTATACGAACGAAAAGGAGGAACGGTTGAAGCACTTTCGAAATTGTTCAATGTTGGAATGGATAACTAAAATTGGCAAACAAATATTTGTAATAGGAAACCCTAGTAACACGAACAACAAATTGCAAGCAAAATTTAAAATTTAGAAATTACAATGAGCATGGAAATGGAAATCAACTTGTTATAAACGTAGTTTTGCTTATTTTTTAATAAAAACAAATAATTCAAGAAACCAAATGGATGCCGAAAGCAGCTCTCACATAATAACACGAGTGCACCAAAAATGCACTCCCAAATTTACTTGAAATCCGAATCCCAACTGTTGGCATACTCAATAGACTGGTTGAATTGCTTGCACTGCTTTAGATGAAGCCCAGACGAATGGATTTTGCAATTGACTACTGGCGACGGTTGAACCAGCTATTTTTAAAGATCCGGCAGCCTTAGAAGCAACAGCCTTGCCACTGTGCAAAAGTTTGATGCTGTTCATACATTTGGGTTATTACACAAATCGATACATCTTGTTACATCATACATTTTACAGCGCCATCTGTTAATTGCTATCGTATCCCGATATCGGTAGTGCTTGGCGATAGGCGAATTTTAATTGGAAAAGAATAACGGGGCATTTATGTTTGTAGTTTTCGAAGAATTATAACCATACCAAATAACTGTCCCGAAAATTATATTCCCTCTCCTGCATCTCCTGCACAATTCGAAGTAAATTGACATGTTTCATTGTGTTGAAGTAGGCGTTGCTTTTTGTTCAAAACTTTGTTTAATTTCTCATTAATCGGAGTGGGCACCGCTTTTTGGTTTCAAGACTAAAACTATTCACAAAAAAAGTTGGACTCAAACAAGAGGGACAGCAGGTTTTCTGATAGTTAAAAGAAAAATCAAAATTAATTTAGCTTAAAGGTTTGTGCTCTAAAAGATGATTTTCAAAATTATTTTGTTAAATTTTTGTGCATTCCGTTTCTAAAAGATGAACCGAACCGATGAAGGAATAAACACCATGGTGGAGTGCATGGCGGAGAATATGGAAAATACGCTGATTGTTGCCGCTCAACAAGATGTCCCAATGCAACAGGTCAATGAGCTAATTACGGCCCTAAGAGAGTCGAATGCACGTTTGGCAGCGGGTGCTATACATTTACCAGAGCATCCTGTGTGGCATGAGCGACTTCAGGCAGTTATAGAGCACCAGCGCGAAAGAAGGCTGCAAGTCCAGGAAGAGCAGTTGCGTCAACGGGTGCAACGTGGGCAGCAGGAGCAACAGGGCCTGGAGGAGCCAAATGGCCAGGAGGAGCAACAGGGCCAGGACGATCAAAATGGCCATCAGGAGCAACAAGCGGAAGCGCAGCAACAATAAACAATATTCAAAGAATGCAAATTTTGAACAAATTTCAATAAAAATTTGACTGCTGTTATCTCGTGCTGTGGTGTTTGTGTGTTCGTTATTCTTGTGCTGTTATGCGCACAGTGTTCTGTTAACTAACAGCGATATGTTAACAAACAGCGGTTGCCAACATTTGAAATCAAAATACTCGGCAAGTTCTTTTTGTTATTTTGTTGTGGTTTTTTGTGTGTTTGTTTTATTTTCGTTTGTAATTTCATTTAAACATTTTCTATAGTTACTAAAATTACTTATGCACTGATTTTTATTATTAATATTAGTTAAATATTATTGAAAATACATTAGTTGTTTTACGAAACAATTTATAAACATCCTTGGTACATTTTTTCTCCCCCATCTGACTTCTTTCCCCCGTTTTGCTGCTGTGGTGACTGCGCATCTGTCGCATGCATTTCGCAAATGTTTTTAAAAACTAACAAATAAGTCTAGATTTAGTTACAGTTTCGCCTTCTCACTTATACACTTTCTATGTTCATTTATTTATAATAATTTTGTTGTTTGTTTACCAGCTTAAACGTAGACATTTTGCTTCTTTCCTTTCTTCCCTTTCTTCCCTTTTGCCGTTAATTCGATTTACAATGTTTGCCAAGTGCGTGGTTTTTCCTTTATGCTACATCTCTAGTCCCCCAGCTTTATATAAACTCTACTATAATACACACGAGCTTTGTTTTATGTTTTCTTTTCTTCCTTTTTTATAGTCAATTTTCTCGTTTTTTATTTTTTTTCGCTTTCTGCTTGAATGTCTATGAATCTTTTTTGTTTTTGCATTTTGAATGAAAATATATTTATATTTATATATTTTTTATATACTATATTTATAAAAGTTATGTACAAATTGTTCGTTTAATGAAAATTCCCTACTTGATGCGAAGTAACTTGTTTTTTTTTTCTCATTTATCGAATAATTTTGTTTTGTTTTTGTTTTTCGTTAATGCAAAAATTATTGTTAAAACTTTTCAAGTGTGTGAGCATTTTTTGTTACAACAAAATGGGTATATTACATAACAAAAGAAATGTATTATTAAGAACTGAGCCAAAGCCAAGCCAAAGCCAGAAAAAAAGATTTAAAAATTTAATTCCTCCCCTTAGCCCAGCGGTTTGAAAATGCCTACAGACTATTTTTTGGCACCGAATCAAACAGAATGAAATAAAATAAAAAAAGTTACAAATCAATGTTTACAAAAATAGTACAGGGTAGGAGGGGGTAGGGACAAACCCAAACTGAGTCGCGGAAATTGCACAAAACCCAAAAAAGCCCGCGAGCTCTCCACTATCTTTCGCTCTCTCTTCTCGCTCCTTCTCTCTCTCTCTCTGTCTCTCTCTGTGTGGCATCAGCTGGAGCCTGCGTCATGGTTGATGTCTGCCCCTTGCCCCTGGCACCTTGTTCCAGCTCAAAGCACCGCATGGGATGCAGGCACACCACCGGAGCCAGTCACTTTTTGGAGCATTTGCATAAGCTGCTCGGTGGCCGACTGATTGGCGGCTGCGCTACCAGCACCAATGCCAGCTCCGCCCATGCCCAGACCCATGCCCATGCCCATGCCCATGCCCATGCCCATGCCGACTCCAACGCCAACAACACCCACAACTCCACTGCCACCGCCACCGATGCCGTTGCCGATGCCGATGCCGCCAACGCCACCGCCACCAGTGGCCGCCGCTGCCGACGAGGACGATGGCGGCGAGGAGATCGATGTGGCAGCCGATGCCGATGACGAGGATGACGGTGTCAGCGCCAGCTTGGATTCTGGGAGCAACAAAAGAAGCTGATATTAGATTTCGGTTCGATTTGGTCTACGGACTGCCTTGCATACTGTCATCGCTCTCCAGGTAGGTGACATACGAGTCCGTGCTATCCGGATGATGATGGGAGGTGATGCCCGAGTCCATGCTGCTGCCCCCAGGCCCGGGTCCATTCATTTGCTGACCCGGCGGCGGATGTGGATGTGGTCCCTGTGGCGGATGTGGCGGCAGCACTGGCATACCATTCAGATCATAGCCATGCATCTGCAGGAGAATGGAAAAATGAACTTAGAATTGGTTGAACTATTTCCATGGAGTGTCAGTTTCGCACCTGATTAACCAGCTGCTGAAATGCAGGTGTATGCGTATTGATTGCTCCATTGCTGTCCAGATCGGCGTGCAGGGCAAAATCGCTTAAGGCTTTCCACGGCGGTTGATATGTCTGCACATCCAGACCCTGCAGATTCAGCGGCGAATCGTGTCGCACCGGCGAACTGGCGATCATCGGTATGCCCTGCATTGCCCCGTAGCCAAGTTTGCGACCCTCCTGAAAGTAAGGATAAACCATCTTATTGATCGTTTATAGAGCTAGATTATGCAACTGGCGAGTGGATAAACATACCTTCTCCTGTTGCATTTGCAGCTTCATTTGTATGGTTTTTTTCTTGTCCTTGCAGCGCTTGTTCTGGAACCAGACGCGTATGACGCGCGGCGAGAGGCTCGTCATCTCAACCAGTTGCTCCTTCATGAGCGCATCAGGTCGCGGATTAGCATTGTAGCAGGTTCTGGAAGGAAAGAGCTCTTGAATGGGGAACCAAATGATTATGATCTCTTGGACTTACCTCAGTGTATGCAGCTGTTTCTCATTGAGCACGGTCCGAACTCGCGTTGGCTTGCCATCCGACGGACCCGAGGGTCGTTTTTCCCTAATACTTTTATGTGAGCCCGATTCGCTGCCAGAATCTGAACAAAAAGAGTGAAAGATATGATCAATTTGTTTGCTATTTTTGGCAAAGAGAAGCAAACACTTTGAAGTGCCGTTTTTCTGTGATAAATTGTTTCAGTCTGGCTCTTGCTCTGGGCTCTGTTGCTGGGCCTTGCTGCTTTCCGTTCTACATACATTCCAATTGCAGCCCAAAAATATCGCCAAATGTGCGGAGATCAAAGAGGTACACGCGTTCCCCTTGTAGGGGGATCGATCGTTGGTAATTAAGTCGTGTTTCACAACCCCCAAACAAGTTGTTATCTAATTTCGATCAATGAAGATCGTGGCCACAAAAACGAAACAACCAAAAGAATAGATCGTAACGATCGATCGATATATCGTTAGGCGGCATCTGCCACATCTTCTCCTACTCCTTATCAACCTGTGTGAGGCGCTGCCAAATTGGCAAAAACTTTTATACAAATTGAAGCGCGATCGCTGGGGAGAGACTCTCTGGAGAGACATCAAAGCATTGTCACCGCACCATGGCAGCGACTCTGTGTGGCATCGGAGTTTGGCAAACACTCGACTATTGTAGACTGCATGCCGTTTTCGAGTTGAACACAAATAAATAAGTCAAACAAGTGGAACCATGAATGGTAGAGCTGCACAGCAGATTGATCATACGAGCGACGGATCGATGAATCGACAGACAGTCAAAGAGAAATCCAATTCCCAAGAAGTTGGCTTGTCAATGTTTGCCCGCTTGAATGCTTCAATGCAGCTCCAAGTTTGTGTTTGTCCCAGTCTCTCCCTCTACCCTCTCGTTACACCTTTTGCAAATTGGGGGGGCATGAGCTTGGGTTGCTGCTTCTATCTCTGCCACACACGTTTTGGCATCGTTTGACAACGCCGCCCCATGTTGATAAGGTGCTCTCCACTCTCTGTTGCTCTTCTCTGTTCCTGTCTCCTCCATCGTTCTGGTTAAACAATGAGATTATGTTGACGATATGGTTTGACAATTGTCGTACATTGTTTGACGTTTGCCGATTTCTATTGACACCTCTGCCTCTACCTCTATCACTTACATGGATGTAACGCTGTTTTTCTAAGAATAAAACACGAACGGGCAAACGCTTTTGTGGCTTGCCGAAGCGTGTACTAGATGTGCCGCAGAGTGGCAGAGTGCCAGAGTGGAGTGCCACTGCCTCAGACCAATTTAGGCTAATTAGGATTGGCAATCTTTTGGGGCACAACGAATAGAAGTGCTGCCATTTGCCAATTAGAGAGTGGAACTTGCAGTTGCAGTAGAAGTGCAGCAAGTGGCAGGTTCTTGGTACTATCTAAAGAACCATCAAATGTGGGTTAAGTAGTAGGTACAATCGTGTGTTCTTTGATGATTATTCTGCGAACCAGAGGGGTAATCAGATACGTTCCAAGATCCCTTTTTTTGCTTACATTATTCAGTGAAATTTGTTAATGGACTGCCACAGCAACTAATGTTATCACACTTCTATTTGGGTCTATAACTAATAACTTCAATGCCAATTAGCCTGATGGATGACTCCAAAAATGTGGCTACAAAAACACAACAATGGGGTAGAGCATAATATTTGAGAAACTAATGAACTACTATCCAGTTACAGAGTCAATTCAGTGGCTAAACAAAGGGGGAGACTGTCACACAATAGCGAAGCAAACCCAGGAGCCACATGGAAGGGTTGAAGGGTAGCTCCAACAATGGCACAACCCTTCTGGAAACCTTCTTTAAGTATTGCTGTATCTATCCCCAATCTTTGAGTACTGCTAAAGACCCTCCTGAACTGTTGCCTGAATCTGTTTTCAAATCTTTCCTGGAGTAAACTATCTCATTTGGAGCACTTCTTCAAGCACCTGAATCAACACAAACCAAGTCACAGATTGACAGGTTACTTCTGCCTTAACTATTCCCAAATCTTTACCCCACTCAAGTCAAGTATTTGGATAATCTTTCCCTTCATTAAGAGCACAAACTCATGCAGCACAAACTGAAACAAAGTAAAGAAGGAACAACAACTCACCTGACATTGAGCCCAATTCGCTGGAATGGTTGTTATTGCTAAGGTTGGTATTATTATTGTTACTACTGCTAATATTGTTGTTGCTCTCCACCGATGAGGAGGTGAGACTGCTCTGCGATGATTTCTCCAGCACATCGTGATCCTCCTTGCAGTACAGCGCACCAGCATCACGTAACGCGAATTCATCGCCTGCACAAAAATAAACAATAAATGAGTAATGCAACCGTATGATAAATAAATTTAAATAGCTTCCTCCTACCTGGCAGCAATTGTCGCGCACACGCCGAACATCGAAAACATTCAATGTGAAAGATTTTCGTTTTGGCGCGCATCACAAAATCATTTTTGCTGAAGGAGTTACCGCATTTATCACATTTTGTACCAAATAACCTGAAACGAAAGCGACAGAAAAAATAACCCATGATTAGTTAGTGTAAATAGCCTTGAATGTGGTCATCGAGAGGAAGAGAGAGATGGGATGGGATGGGATGGGTAAACTCTGCCTTGTTTATGGCTATAAAATGAAATTCTTTTGTGACCGCCGACAACAGCAACGGACTGTGCTGTGTGTGTGTGTGTGTGCTCTGTGTTCATCAATCATTCGTATTGGATTCGTGGAGATGTGTATTTGTGTGTGGCAAAGTGTTAATTTATAGCTTTGCACGTGTTAATCAATTATTCAAAGATTTGCATGGCAAATAGTTGCGACGTTCGGTCGCTTCTCCGCTTTATTGGAAACAACAAAAAATAGCAGCAGCAGCAGCAGCAGCAGCAAATAAAGCAAACTTTTTTATTGCACGTCATACATTTAGCGATGATGAAAGCCCCCACAACCCAAGTGCCTATGCCAAGTAATGATTTTGCTACTGGACCCCAACATCTGTTGATTAGAACAGGGTGCCCAGAGGTCTTTGCTTTGCTGCTGCTGCTGCTGTGTTGGCATCATCATTCTAATTGCCTTGGCTAACAAGGCTGGCTAACAACACACACACACACACAAAAAACACACAGAAAAACGCTACAATTGGAAACCAAAAAGAGCAGGCGCATGACGAGAGTATGTGGGGACTATCGGATGTTGGGGCTGTGTAAATAGTGCCTTTTCGGGCAGAGGAAAATTATTGAGTCATGGGATGTTGTGTGTGCAATATTTTACCTAACATAATCACGCTTGCAATAGGTTTTGCCATCACGCACAAAGCACGTACAGCTCTCGTCCAAGAATTGCCTGCATTCCTGACACTTCAAACATGCCGCATGCCACTCCAGATCGGGTGCAACGCGCAAGATATACTGATCGTGGATCTGGCCGCCACAGCCAACGCAATGCGATAAACGTTGTTTTTCTGCAAAGAAACAAATAGAGAAATTAATATTATTATAAATATTGTAATTAAAAGTGGGGTTTTGCTTGCCACTTCCCGGCTTTTCAATTGAAATTAATTTGTGTTAAAAAAAACCCAATCAAAAACAATCTATAAATGAAAGTTTTCCCATTTGCCGACGGCCATCTCCTCACCAAATTTACCATTTTCCTTGACTCTGCAGTTTCTTTTTTGGCTATCCCCCCGCCCAAAACTTAAATTCATTTTGCCAATTATGCCTCGGAAACGCAAACAAATAGCCAGGGAGACAGCCAAAGACAGCGCTAATTAACAAACTGTTATCAAATAATCTGAGTTTTCCTGCCCTGTTTACCCAAGTGCTGAGCACGGGGACTCAAAAAACCCAAAAAACTTTTCCTGCCAACAAGTTTTCTGCTTCTCTCGCTGCCTTTTTTTTTTTTGTTTTTTTTTGGTAGAGAAAACATTTGAAAAATTCATAAATCCTGGCCCAGGCAGGCTGGCAGCCATTTTCAAGTATTTAAGTTGAACAGTTTTGCCTTTCCGTTCGGTTGCATGCCAAGGATATGACAGTAGACAAGTCAAGGATATTTATGGGATTAAGTTGAGGAATCTATTGTGATTATGCAGCTCATAGAACATTTTTGGGAATTTTCAAAACATTTTCCGAAGCCATGTAAATATTTAGATTTTCTTGTAAAAGTTTAACAATTAAATTATGATGATAAAATATATTTAAAATATTAAATAAGTTCTCGTATACCTCCAAATAAGTCCCCATTTTTCTGCGCGTGTATTTTTACTTCTACTTCATCTTCGTCTACAGTTTTTTTGGCCCCAAAAACTTTTGCCAGCGCACCAAAAAAAAGTAAAGTAAAGTAAAGTAAAGAAAAAGAAAAAAAAATCAATGCAATCATTGCCACATTATGTACAAGGCAGCACACACCATGCCGCGATGCCACACCACTCCATAAGATAGAATACTATATTCTTACTGCCACTTCCTGTCCCCCCTCTAGTTACCAGTTTTTCCCCCAGTAAATATGTGCGGGGCCGTAATCCTTGGCAGCGGCAACAGAAAAACTTTGTTCTGCTGTTGAAAAATTAAGAAAAACTTTGACGCGCGTTTAGCACGTTTTAAATGTTTCGTTGCCCCAGCACACACACACACACATACCAACATAAAATCTGTATCTGTTGCCGCTGTATCTTTAAACGTGGCTGCGTAGCTGTGTGTGTGCTGTGGGGAGTGGTTAGGGAGGCGGACTACCGGGCTGGGTGGTGGGGATGCTCAGTGTGCGCTGCGAGTACGAGTATATGTATGCACGGGTAGTACGGATACGATACGATACGATACGAGTCGAGTATCTTGCGTATCTTTCGCACTCGCTGTAGCTACACATGAATTATTTATAAAGGCGGAGCAGACAAGTTGCTGCTTGCTGCTGATGCTGCTGTTGCCGTTGTCCGATATCGTTATTGTTGTTATTGTTGTTGTTGTTGTTCTCTCGCTCGCTGTATATTATTTTCCTTATTTTTTCGCCAATTTTTTCCCCCTGTACATTGCCCTAACGTTTGGGGTATTAACATTTTGGCAGGGAGATTGGACAGGACAAGGGACAGGAAGCTGCCCACGCTCAGAAATTTACTTCATTTTAATCTTAGAAGTTTTACTTGAATTCAAAATATTTTCTACTTATCTTTGAGGCAAAACATAGTCTGAAAAATTGTCTTTAAACTTAAATAGTGAAGAATCTGAAGAAATTTGTATAAAATCAAGATGAACTTAAGCCGCACATTCTTAACTTATATTTATTTTGAGAACCTACAAAATTGGTCCCTTGGCTCTTCATGAACCACTACATATTTATTTGATTTATTTGCCAGGCAAAATTTAAGCTTCACCAGGAAAATCAGGCATCAATTTATACGCATGTAAGTTTCCTTTAAGCCTACAATTGCCTTTCCTTTTTCCCCATTAAACTCCTTCCATAACTATTCCCTTTAATATCTTCTTCAATTAAGTATTTATAAAACATTTTAGGGTATTTTTGAAGCTGCTTCCAAAGGCAAAAAGGAGGAAAAGCTGCAGTACTTGGGCTGCGAGTACGAGTATTTGTTGCTTTTCAAGCTCCAAGTGTTTCAGTTTCCGACTGACAGACAGACGGAGAGACAGATGGGCGGGCAGACTGGGTGGACAGACAGTCAGCATTTACTTCCATGTTTCAGCCTCCAATTCAACTTCAGCAATCTCTCTCTCTCTCTCTCTCTCTCTTTCGCTCTCCCTCTCTGTCTCTCCTTAGCCCTGGCTTGGGGGCATGTGCGCCTTTTTTTTCTGCTCTTTCTTACTTTCCTGCTGCTGCTACCCTATATAGACATATGAACATGTGTGTGATTTGTACGTAAAAGTTTGAGTGTGTATGTGCGTGTGTGTGTGTGTGCTGGGGCCACCATTTTAGCCAGCTTTTTTTTGGCAGCTTCTTTTGTTGTGCGTTTCTTTCGTTTTTCTGGTGTGCGTATTTTTTTTTCTTACATTTTTTTCTGCTGTTTGTATAAATTTCAGTTGGCCCTCCCGTACGTATCTTTTGTGTTCCTTCTTCTGACATTTCGCATTGTTTGTCTCTGCATCTGGTGTGTGTGTGTGTGTATTTTTGTTGGGGTTCTATCTGTGTATTGCTTACTCCTTGGGTTCTGAGTTTCAGTTTTTGGGGCTGGCGCTGAGGCTGAAGTTTGCTGTTGCCTTAATGATCCTGCGCAGTTCGTTTTCATTTTTCTTTTGCCACCCACTCAGCCAACACGCACACTTACACACACACACACACACACACACACAGATACTCTCTCACACAGCCGCAGCCATTATGGCTGTAATGGGAATTTAAGCGCAGCTCCTGCGCCTGTGTGTATCTTTTCCTCCGCTTTTCGTTTCGTTTTGGGGTGGTGTGGGGTTTTTCCGCTTTTGTGGCGTATCTTTTGCATGTTATGTTGCCATTTTGTTGGTTCCCCCCAGCCCAACCCCCAACTGCCACTCCTTCTGCCGGGGGTTGGCGTCGCGCCGCGGTTCCATCTGCTGGCTCTTTTTTTTTTGCTGTCGCACTGCCATGCGGCACACATTGGATCCAAAATGCAATTTTGTCTCGTGTTGTCGTCTATGAATTTTTGCGACTGTGTCGGCGGTTTTTCTTTTGGCAGAATGACGGGTGGATGGCAGGGAGGAGGGGAGCAGCAGGGGCCTGCTGCTGCTGCGTGGGGCACATGCGGCTACTGCGGCTTTTTCACTTTTAACGAGGAAAACGCTTCGCAAGCTGCGTGTTTCCAATTTTTGCCTGTCACTTGCCGCCTCGGTGTCGGTTTTGGGAACTCTTCCTGCCAGTCCCTCCTCCCTCATGCCACCTCCTTTTGGGTGCTATATTTTTGCTGTATTTTGCCGTTTGTATATAGTACAGTACAGTGCTCCTCCGTGGCTACATCTATCTTTTGCTGCTGTGGCACTTGATCTTGGGCAAATTCAAGTTTTTTATGTGCAAAAAGGTGTTTAAAAATGTTTAATGGCCGCACCTTTTCTGCCACGCGAAGGGGTCTGTCTGCCTGTCGATTGCTCTTGACCTCCTCAACCTTTTGCTGGAAGTACGAGCACGAGTATAGGTTACTTGTAGTACTCGCATATGATGTAATTTTATGTGCTGTGATCAGGCAAAACCTTGTTGGACATGGCTAAGAGTGTTCGTTCTCTCTGTGGATGTGAGAATAGAGACAGCTGTGGCCGAGCCCTGTTCGCCCTGGTTAGGAATTGAACCTAAAGTCGTTTGAATATTTGGTATTTCCTTTTTTATTGGGGGTGGCTTTTGCTTGGCTTTAAAGTGATTAAATATTTGCAACATTTAGAGACTGTTTTTCGGGCAGAAAAAACCTTAAGCCCATGCTCTATGGAGCTGTGGCGTAACTTTTAGCTAGCAACACAGCTTTATAGTTTTATTTGAAGATACACATAAAGCCCAGAAAAACGAACAGATAGACTGCCTCCGACTCGTTAACAGTCTTTTGTGTTACTCAGAATATTAGAGTAATTTCTAAACAATTTGTAGTTTGATACCTAATTTTAAACATGCCTTCCAGTTCTTTCATCATGCTCATCGAATGCCCATTAAGTCAAGGTTAAGGTTTCTACAACAATCTTTAACTTTAGCATTTCCTTCAGCAATTAAAGATAAATATCTGATAGTAAGACTCACTTTTATCTAACAAACACGAGTGTGTGTTTATGGCTGAATGTGATAGATGTGATGGCTGTGCCATTGATGGATGATCTATGATCTTTGGAGTTGACTTTTGTCATGCCAACATCAATTGATGGCTAAGCAATAAACATATCAAAGTTAGTGCGCGGAATACATACAGCAACAGATATAGGAAACGCCCACCAACCGCACCTCTGACTGAGAGTCCCCCAGCGCTCGATCGATGCTGCGCCTTATCAGTGTCGGCAATCTTACAAAGAGCCAACGAGAAGGCAAGAGTGAGTGAAAGAGGGAGAGAAAAATGTGGAGAACAAGTAAAATTGCAGTCAAATCAAGCAGGGTTCTCGGTGGCAACTCCACAAACACACACACACACACACACACACACAGGCAGAGATGCACACACACAGATACACGACACGCACTCACACATGGCATGGCAGTGGGGGCCCAACTCCAACTCCAACTCCAAGGCAAATGGCTGCCCAGCAGCAGCATCTTCTGCACCATGCCCCATCTTCAGCCTGAGCTTGTTGCTGTTGCTCGGACAAGAGGCAACATGCAAAATGCAAAGCATCGATAAGATACGTTTTTGGCCAGAGAGGCCCAGACCCTCTCTCTCTGGCTCTTGGGCACAACAAAAATTATGGAAGCTCCGCCGGATATGGGCGCGATTTCAAAAGCAACTACTGTTTGTGTCTTTGCCACCAGAAGGGGCATGGCAGGGGGACTGAGTGTAGTCAGTAAAGGGGCCCGTTTCGTTCGCTCTTTGATTTATGGCATATTTTGTTTCAAGGCAAATACAAAGCGCAGTCACACACAGCAATCGTTGAATGGGCTGAGGGGGACTTCAATATTTCTCGATGGATAGCAAGTGCCGTGCCGCTTGGAACTAGGAATTTCACATGCTCATAAAATGGTAGTGGAAGGTGGGGGTCACAATCAGAGGAGAGACAGCACCAGCAGCAGCAGCAGCAGCAGCAGCAGCAGCAGCCGAGCGCGTGACTTCTTGGAAAATTTGTCATTTTTCCTGGAAGAAGTTTCGGCGGTTGTGGGCCATTCCTTTTTCATTCATTTTTCGCTGTTTTTTGTTTTGTTTTTGTTACCTGTGACTCTGGGCAACGATTTAAAAAATTAATGATGACAGGCAGGCAGGCAGCAGCGAGGACCACGAGAAAGACCCTTTGGGAACACGTGCCCTGAACGCTTCTACCAATACTCAGGCATGCAGTCACACACTCGCTCAGAGATTCAGACACTCACTCACACAGATTGGAATGCTCGAAACTCCGACTGCCTTGGCTGGACAATTCGAATTCACATTTTGACAGACTCATCAATTTTGTAGATACCAACAAAAAGAGGAGCGGGAAGGTAGGGCTACCAGGATGGAGTGGAGTGGAAAGAGTACGCGGCCAGCCACTGATTAGGCCATGTTTTGTTATGGCCCTGGCTATTGTCTCTGCCGGCAAGGCGTGGGCTGCTTCTGCACTCACTCACTCATTCATTCACTGACGTCCAATCCAATGTCTGTCTGGTGTCTGGTGTCTGCTGTCTTTCAGCTTCAAAGGAAGTTTTGCGGTTTTTGATTTGTTTGCCCATCGACTTTCGATACTCTCAATTATACATAAACTCGGACCCAAACTCGTAGTCGCACTGTGTGTGCAGCCTTAAGTTGCCTTAATTAAGTGCAGTTGCTTGGACAATGGACAACATTATCTTCATTTTGCTTTGGGGCGTCCCCCAGCCAGAAAACATCAAGTTTTCTCGATCGATATTCGGTCCCCAGTCCTCTCCCTCTCCCTCTCCCTCTCCCTCTCCCTCTCTCTGTCGCTACGTCTGTCTTTCTGTCTGTGTATGAATTTGCCTAATTAATTACACAAAATACAAGCCAAAAAGGGGTTAACAGTAGCCAGCTGTCGGCCAGAGTTCAATTGGAGATGGGGCGAAAAGCCCAGGTGGGAAAGTGGAAAATGTTGATTGCAAATCGATTGTTGAATTTAGTAGGAAAAACATTTAATGTCGTAGAAAATGGTACAGGGTTTAAATGAGTGTAGAAATTCATAGCTCAAACAAAGAAAATTATTCATTTTTGTCCCATAAGTTTTCATTTGTTCATTAAATTTTGCTAAAAACACTTCATGTAGCAGTAATTGTTATGAACTTTAAATGGGGTATAAGGCATGGAAAAATGAATGCTGGAAATACCTTTTGAAATGTAAAGTCCATGGCAAAGATAACCCTAAGAAATTGAAACAATTTGATCAATTTGCTGCCCATCTTTTCATTCAATTCTGCCCAACTCTGGCTCGAATTTTCCCTCAATTTCTAAGCTTAGATCTGCTCATCTTTTACTTGAACTTCCCACCTTAGATTTTTCCATCTTCGAAGTACCTTTTCTCGTGTCACGCCACCGTCTATCACATCTCACATCTCCCATCTCCCCTTGTGTATGTGCAGCCAATAACTGATCAATGCAAACTGACTCTTCTCCGCAAACAACAACAAAAATCAATAATAAACAGTGGCAAAGGGGGGGGGGGGGGAGAAAAAAATCATACAACCAAAAGAAGCCGCCGCCAGGCAATCACTTTGAAGTGTTTGATTTTGGAATTGGCCGTCGCAGCTAACTGAAATGTGGTTGTTGGTTCACTCGATGCTGTTGGTGTTGGCTGTCGTTTTATTGAAGCCAAATTTGAATACGAGACAAGACGAGAGAGCGGGCTGGGGGCTGGGACTGCTGCTGCGGCTGCCACAAGATGCCATCGGCTGGCTGGCTGGCTGGTTGAAGTCGCGACATCAAAGAGTGCCTGGACTCAAAATGGACATGGGCCTGCAACAATTTATGCCATAACAGAGAGAGATAGAGAAAGAGAGAGAGAGAGAGAGATGCTGCAAGAACGGAAATGACCTTTTTTGTGTGTGTCGATCGGCGGCAGGAGAGCTGCAGCAGAAAACAAAATGCCGATGCAGACACTCGACGCGGACGCTCGAGACTCTGAAGACTACGTACTCGGATTCAAACTGGAGTCTGCCTGCTCCTCTGCTCTGCCGCTGCTTGGCTGCGTGTCGCCGACAGATGACAAGCGGCGATAGTGTCTTTTGGCTGAGCCTGCTCCTCAGACCCGACTTAGAACCCGAACACCGAACCCCGCAATCTCTCTCGCTCGTCTCTGAGCTTCTTGTTCCACCTTGGGCTGTGGCTGTGGATGGGTTCGGGGCTGTTGCATCGTCGTCGTCGTCGTCGGGTTCTGTTGGGTTAAGTGATGATCATGATGGGTTATTAGGCAGGTTGCGTTGACAACGCATTTGTCTTTCAATGGAGTGGCAGCCAGACGCCGACGCAGGATTCTCTCTCACTCTCTCTACCTCTCTCTTTCTGCCTCTCTCTCTCTGTGTCTCGCTGGCGATAAGCGGGCGACATTTATTTATGGTGTTTTAACACAAGGCGCCCCCTCTCAACGGGTTTCGACTGTAGGTAGGGGTTCCATCAGCTCTTACGTACTCCTCTCCCCCTACTCCTCCTTCAACTGCCATCATTCGGGGTGAAAGCCAAGTTAAGAGTCAGGGCCGTCATTTCATTTCATTTCATTGTCTGTGCGCGCGCGAGGCTCAGCCTCAGAAAAGTGTCAAATTAATGTCAGTAAATGTACAACAACAACGAAAATCTACTCAAAAATATCTGACTTTGATTTGACTGCAATTAAAGAGAGGAACAACAACAACAAAGACAACAATAACAAAGGAAAAACTGAAAAACGCACAACAAATTGAGTTCGAGATTCAAAATGCAGTTTAACCTTTATATGGAGAATCGAAGAAACGAGTTTTTGTATTTTTCTGTTTTGTATTTTTGCCGCCGCACAACGTACGAGTAGTAACAAATTTTTCAGTTTATTTGCTTTCTGTTTTTGCTGTATGTTTTTACCATTTTAAATTTAAAAACAAAAATTCATGCGGGCTTGCTAAAGGATTTTTTAGGAGTACTCTAGCTGGGAGTTGAATGGATTTTCATGGGGTATTTGCTGTGTGGCAAAGATTTTAGAGTCTTCTGAAGTTTAGGTATGCTTTGGCAGCATTATTATTCAAGTAGTTATGGCAATTTTTTTGTTAGTTTTTGTGACCACTAGTCGCTGCATTTTACAGCTCTGCTTTAATGACTAAATCTTTACATAGAAACAACATTTTTATACATAATCTGCACAGCTTCATGGCACATTGATATCCATTTTTTAAACATATAAAATAAAATATTGTAGTATTTACCATTTAATGTATGTAATATGATTCCTTCCGAACTGCTTTTCCTTAGTTTTTCTTTGCTGCCGCCTACATTATATTGTACATAAATCAAGTAAGAGTCAGTGCCATGGAAAAATAAGTATTTTTTAAAGATAATTCTACAATATATTTCCTACTGAAGTTTCAAAAATCTACAATTAATATAACATCTTATTTTAAGGTTAATCAACATAAATTCTCCCAGAAGACTTTTAGAGTAGCCAAGCCTTCGCCCCTCCCCTTTTGTAGCTTTAATTTCTTGTTCATTTTTTGCTGCATATTTTGTTCCTTAACTGCCTTTCGGTTTATCATAAATTGCTTTTGGCTTTTGGATAATTAGAATGTGTGCGATTTGACTACATTTTTGGCTTGCTGTATGTGGATATTGTCACAGTCCCAGTCCTAGTCCCAGTCCCAGTTGTTGTTGCTGTTCTCGGTTGTTGCTTGTTGTTTTAGTTGTTGTTTTTTTGTGGCGGTGCCTCTCTTGTGTAAATATTTGACCTGATGCGTGTGAACTTTAACAGTTTTTATGCTTTATTTGTCGCAAATATTGCGCAAACATGACAACACAGAAAAAGGTGCATATATCCCTGCTCCTCCGACACCATCTCCTGGTGCCACACTCCTGGCCCCTCAAGACACTCATTTTGCCCCCTTTGGTGTTTGCCTTTTGGCCAACAGCCTCAAGCCTCGAGCCTCTCCCTGTGGCAGTTGCCGCGCATGCGTGCCCCTTTTGCACTTGAACATTGTCGGTATGTCTGTCTGTCTTTCTGTCCCTGTGTCCGTCTGTTGCTGTAGTTGTTGAAGGTGTTCTTGTAGTTGTACTCGCAGTGTCTTGCCTGGTTTCTGCTGTTTTCGCTGTTGCCTGTGCTGTGCTCTACCTATTTCTGTGCTCTGTGCTCTGTGGCATGCTACACGTCTAAAGCCGCAGATTTATATTAATTTCGCAAAGGATACGTGAAATTTCCAGTGTACCAAGCATTTTGGGTATGTCTTTTATGGGATCAATGGAAGCTGAGAGAGGCTTAGCTGAGAGAGAGTCTTAGAAGGGAAAATATTTCTGTATTTTTCTGGTACATATTTTTGTGGAATTACTGAAGGTTTTCTTTGGTTCGTGAAATAACAATTGAATGGGAGTTTTCTTACGCAGAAAGAGGCATAAAATATCTCTAACTTTAATCATTCATTTATCAAAAATTGTAACAAATAAAATGAAATTCCTGTTCTTTCTTTGCAAATTCCTTAACCGTTCCTTCCCCAATAAATACCACTGCCTGCATGCCACTCCAATGCATGCTGGCCCTAGATGCTTCATACATCACTGCATCGACACCGTTATAAAAAAAAAAGCTTAAGACCTCATTAAAAGACGCCGCCGCCGCCTGCTTTATGGCACTCGAAGACCGAGTTGCCGATTTAACGCTCAACAACAATCGTTGGAGTCCTGCTGCCCCCATAGTAGAGCCAACTCCATCCAACCCCTACATCTACCCTCACCCCCCTCCAACCGATTACGCACACGCAACACAGAGAGAAAGAGAGAGAAACAATAAGTTCGATGTGAAGACCGCCGCGCCGACCGCCAAAGGCTTTGGGCCCTGTGTTCATGCAAATTTTTAACTTCATTTCGGCTTCGTTTTGTTAATTAATTTATATTATTTTATTTGGGGTGTCGTATACAGTCACACACACAGATCTACACACACTCACAGAGAGTGAGGAGTCGAAGTCGGGGCCTCATTGTGTTGACATGCCTTGTGGCTGGCTGCCGCTTCATCGTTACTGCTTCCAGCATCAAGACTAAGAGTCGGAATCGGAGTCCAGTTCTGTGGCAGTGCCCGAACGACAAATTTATATTTAATGAGCTTCATAAAATTTGAATTTCAAAGGAGCGTTACACCGCAGCGGCATGTTTCGATACCAATTCCACACACACACAGAGAGAGAGAGACCAGAGACCAGAGACCAGCCAGACCCAAAGATCAACTCCACAACTTGAGCCACGAATTCAACTCCAATCGCGTTGATTGCACGACGTCCCTCTGTCTCTCTCGCTCGCGAGGATTGAGGATTGGGACGGACTCCTTGCATCTTGGTTTCGCTCCAATAAATTGTTTGGTTTTATGGCATTTTAAGTAGGCCTGCTTTATGGCTCTACTTTGAGCTCTCTCTCTGTCTCTTTTCGAACTAGTTGCGAATGAGTACTCCTTGCCGCGCACTCAATACCCGTTTCGTATGATTCATTTAACCAGTGCGGGATCTGTGTGGTCGTTCCTTTCTGGTGTGGTGTTGTGTATCGGGAGATGTATTACCGCCTCTACCCACTTTTAGGCGGCGACAAAACGCTCACCGCCAACTTCCTCATAAATAAACTCAGTCAAAGGCTGGGCAGGCCAGGGTGAGGGGCAGCATCATTGAGAGATCTGCGCAGAGTCTTTAACTTGTTTTGGTCACTTCGACTCTGTGCTCTGTGCTCTGTCATGTGGAGTGTTCTGTTTTGTCTTTAGCTGGCTGCTGCCAACAATTCAATTTGACATAATGAGCTGCAGTTTGTTCATAGCGTGAGGCAAAAAGGGTGTAAAGTTGCCTGAATAATGAATGGGTTAGGAGCGGGAATACTGTGTAAATTGTGCACAATAAAACTCTCAATTTAATAGTACATTTTACTCTAAGAAAAGTCCTTCTAAAGCAGGATAAACTACTTCAATTTTCCACCTCTTTAACTCCTCAAGTTGGTCCAGTTTAAGCTCAAAATTATAAGTCAAAATAAGTCTTAACCCACATCCTGCTCTGATTACTCTCACCAAACGTGGAACAACTTCCTCTGCATTGCAGTCTCTCGTCCCACTAAAATTTTCATTGATTATGATTTGATCTACATAGCGGAATTTCCCATTTTTTTTTTCGACTACTACAAAGTATTTGGCCAACGGAGGGAGAGAGAGTGAGAGAGAAAGAGAGACTTGTTTGGCCTGTTTCCACGCTCTTTCACTGCCTCTGCCTTGCTGCCGTCTGTTTGCCTGTCTGGCCGTGTGGCAACATTTCAATTTGACATAATGAGCCAGCCGCAAGCCAAACTGCAGAGGCAGAGGCAGAGGCAGAGGCACAGGTAACAGTTAGAGAAAAAAGGTAGTAGCCAGCAGGGTGCAGGAGGTAGAGGTAGATCTGGCTTAGTTATGCACACATAACCATCCATAATCATATATCCCGAGACCATATCCCATCTCCTGGTTGGCGCAGATGAGTCAAAATATTGTCCGGGCAAAACGGTAATTGCATCGCCAGCTACTGTCTGGCTCCGTTCGGGGCTCGAAGGTTCGTCTAATGCTGAATGAGTCGCCCCGTGGCGCGACATTCAGAATTGGTTTCGGTTCGAAGTCTGCGTCTGAGTCTGGGTCTGAGGCTCACTGCAGGCGGTCCAACCTGTTGACGAGACGATAGACACACTTGACATTGAAGTGTGGCCTGAGTGGCGAGAGGCACCAAACAAGGAATCGGTTCCACCCCCTCATTCTGTAATGTAATAAGATATAACCCAAGAGGAAATCCCTCTCAATTCTCTCTCTCTCTCTCTCTCTCTTATATTTTGACTGCAAAATGAACTTGTTAGATTGTGCAATGTGCAGTTCTCTAGAGTCTAGAGTGTAGAGGCCCTCAAGTACGGCTCTCAAGTGGCGTCTGGAATCTGTGACGCCAGCGGCAATCCATTTGAAGTTCCAGCAGTGGGGCAGGGAATCTTTCCCTCTCCTTTCGAGTACTTTATAGATCGAAGACATAAAAGTTTGTTGTTTTTTTGTTTGTTGGTTTGTTGTTTCTAGGCAGCATCCTCCTCTTGTTGTTCTTCTCTTTTAATTTTCTGTAGGGTTTGCTTTTTTTATTGTCTTTCATGCTTAATTAGTCATTAAAACAAGGGTTATAAAAATGACACTCATAAAGAGCAGCCGCGGCAGCCAAAGGTACATTCGAGTCACTGCAGCCGTATGGGGCAGGGAGTGGGGAGGTACGGTCTAGAGAGGTTGGGAATAAAGCTTTAAAAACGACGCCATTAAAGTGGCCACCGCATTGCATGCAACACGCCAAAATGCCACACAAGGGACACGGCAACAGCGCTCGCAATTCATCCGGACTACCGGCCACCCCCCCTGCAGGCTCCCCCTATGCCAGCGATGCACCTGAGCACACACACACACACACACTAGCACATGCACACTCCCACAGCTGGAAGGTGTCATATGGCGCAGCGGGTGTTCAACCTGGGCCACCGAAAACTAAACTTGCCCCACCACCAAAATCCCAGCGGGAAATGCAAAGCGCGCCGCACTCTTAATGAGCGCCTGGAGAGCGCCTCAGAGAGTGGCAGAACGGGAGCGGCACGGCACGAGTTGCGGATATGTGTACTCCCCATATGGTTTTGGATCTCACGCGATAAACGGGCGTGGCATGTCAGTACAGAAGTGTACACTGGAAGCGGGTACTACGACTGCAGTAGGAGACTGGTAAAGGGGAAAACACATTTCTGTTGGATTTATACTCTCAAAGGCAGAACCATCAAAGCTTCTCCAATTTCCCTCAACAATGGATCCCCATATCACATACCTCTCCCTCTCCAAGTGTATCTTAAGCTTCGGTTTACGAAACTAATCTTTTTCTTGCGTTTTTGGTTGGTTTTCAACTAATTTTTTGGCCTGCACATTCATCTCAGTCTGTCCCTGTCTCGTCCCCCTTGGGGTCTCTTTCTCTCACTGACATTTTCCCCAGTTGAAATTTAATATTTTTTCCAGTTCGCTTCTGACTGAGCAAACAGTAGCAGCCGCCGCTTGGCTCTCACCTTGACAAGCCGCTGACACCTTGAATGAACTTAAAAAAAAAATAAAAATGGAAAACAGAATTTCAACAAAAAATTTTAATTGCACTTTAATAGGTTGTCGGCTGCTTTAATATGCCCAATTCCAGGGGGTCAGCAGGGGGAAGCGGTGCAGAATATCTTGAAATGCATTAATTAGGTTAGAGTGTATCTGCGAAGTCATTGAGCAGGGTCGGAGCTTTAAGATATTTTGGTGGAAAATACATACAGACGAAGTGGAATATTACATGCTGAATGTTAGTGTGAAAATTAAAGCTTTTGGGTATATTTTTCGGTACTGTAATCCCTGGTTTAAATTCCTTTTCCGATTGAGCTACAGGAAAAGGAATCTTCTCTACAATGAAAAGCCAAAATTGAACAAATTATCATCCACTTCCATTGCCATTTTGCAACCCAACACAGAAAAACCCTCAATCAGCCAGCTAACCAATTACTATCACTCCATTTGATTATCATTTCCCACTCTGTTTTTTTTTTCCTTTTGGTTTTGATAATCAGCAGAAACCACCCAAAAAATTGCTGATATATTTTTTGTTGCTCATCTGTGAACTGAAATTCCAGGCATAATTTTCTAATTTCGCCAGTCAACGAGCTGCTAATTAAGGCAGAGGTAAACAACAACAAAAGAAGAATACAGATACTCTGGCCACAAATTTACCTGGGGGACCCAGCATTTTTAGGGACTTGATGTTTTGATATCTGCCAACTGTGTCTTCTAGACCAACTGTGTGTTTCTCTCGGGTCTCGGGTTGCCCCCGTCTGTTTTATTGTCACACACACGGGGACAGATAGAAATCACAGATACTCGTGCAAATGCATTTCAAATGCCTGGAGTTGGAGGAGGCGACACAACACGGCGCAGGCGCACAGCTGTCTTCTGTCTTATGTCTGGGGTCCCAGGTACGGGGACAACTCTGTCCGAAAACATATTGATCTAGTGCCTGGGTCCGGGATCCGAAGTGCAAAATCAGATAAGCTTTTGGGATTTACGTTTGGGTCTCTCTGGATTTTGGTGCGGGAATTTATGGATTGCGCCTAAATAACTTTATCACACCCCTAAAGGTAGCAGGAGAGGCAGCAGCAGCAGCCGCAGGGATTCTGACCGGAAACGGGAAGGCAAAAAAAACAGCAGGAATTTCGGATAGCATAGGAGAACTCTCATAAAATATAGATAACGTCGTGTCTGGCTATGCTACAACTAATGGGTGTGGCCCTTTGTGTGATGTCAGCAATGCACAAATTTGGGAATAGTTTTTGCAGAATTTAAAGGTAAACTAAATTTAATTTTGTAAAGGAAAGAAAAACCTTCCATAAAATAGTCATCACACAAAAATCCATGCATAACAGACAATTTAAATAAAAATCAATCGAAGCTCGTTTAGAATGGTAGGTCATGTAATTAATTTTATGGCACTTCGTATTGTATTTTTAAGCCCTGGGCCTTTCACTCACGTTTCGGCGGATCTATAAATAAACATGGATCCCACCAGTTGCAAGATCGGTTGTTGATCTATGTCTGGGACCATCACTCTCTGAACACCGTACCATTCTCTTTGGACAGCTTCGAACAACTTAACCTTATAAGGCAGGGGCAGCGCCGAAGCACAACATTTCGATGTTTGACAGTTGACAAATTGTTTCAAAAATTATAGCAACTTTGTTGGTAAGCATTTGCTCAATCAATTTTTCACAATTAACTTTCGAAAATCTGTTGAGGTTAACAAAAAAAATGTTCATTAGCATGCGATTAATTTTAGTAGCTCTGGACGATTTAAATGAAATTAATATAAATGCGATTAGAGCAGAGCAATTTGTTAGATGTACATGGGAATGTCTTTAGATTTTTATGAAAATTTTGCAGCTAATTGCTAAACTATAAAAATAAATATAAAAATCGTTTTGGCTTTTATGGCCGCATATAATTGTCAATTTTTTATGGGTCTACGGCATAAAGCTGTAGGCATTTTATGAGCACCAAACGAAGTAGCAGACGAGTAGAACGCCCTGAAGTATGCATCGGATTTCTGATTCGGAGGAGAATTTTCCATATCTTGTGTAAGCAAAGTGTTCGTGGAAGTACACTTCAACCATTTTGTAAATTTTTCTTTTTGTTTCTACTATATTTAATTAATTTAACGACTACTTGAGAAGTTAGAGGCGGTGGCGGCGGCGACATGTTGACTATGGCCCATTGGGGCCGAGGGAGGTGGCTGCTGCCATGGGCCTGCGACATGAAAAACTCATTAAAATGTTTACAGCGCTCAAAAAATCAAACAAACAAACAAAAATCCCCAGCTCGGACTCTGACTGAACCAACAAAAACACCAGAATAAAAAGAGAGTGGAACGGCACGGAGGATGGGCCACACAACAAAAAATATCACAAAAATAGTTTTCACTAAAAACTAAAACTTAAAGTTTTGTCAGCCAGAGAGAAAGGGGCAGGAGGGAAAGAGGAAAACTTTTGCGAAGTTTACAAATTAAAATGTTCGTTCATCAAATATTTAGCAGGGGCTTCACGACCGGACAACTAATTCGAATTTAAATTACAATTACAAAAATTGCAATGCAATTTAATGTTAGATGCGCGCAATGTATCTGTGTATCTATGTATCTATTAGAGTGTGGTCGTTGTCCCGTTCCGATTCATTCATAATTAAATAACTCTCTCGCACAATTGTGTTTTTGTGCTTATGATTATGATTTTTCATGTTTTCAGTTCGCTCTTTTTTTAGTGTCAAGTTTTTGTTGGTTTTTTGTTGCGGTCTTTTGTTCGGTTAGACAACTGTCAGGCGTAACATTTGTCACAATTTAGCATACGAAATACAATTTAAATAAAATATATTCCTCTGGCACTCTCCCACACACTCATACAGAACACACATTTTTTAATGACACTTTTGGTTTATGAATTTATAAAATGCATTTTCGGTTAACAAAACTTTTGTCTAGTTAAAAATCGCATGGGATACATTTTTGATATTTTTCGCTGCTGCTGCTGCTGTTGGTTTTTGTTTAATTTTTTGGCGTGCAATTGCTTGACCGCTTTTAATTGCTCAACATTAAAATGTCATTCAACTGTTAATTGGCTTCTATATTATATGTAAATTGTACTTAAAATAATATACAGCCGAATACAGCTATAATTTAAAAGTTATTGCCATCGGCTGGCTGGCGCATCGCATCAAGTGTCTAAGCCCATTACAAAAGTGGCAAAAGATAAGTCTGATCTGTCATCGGTTCATGACTGTAATTCGCACAGATCTGAATTGTTTCTCAAAAATATAAACTCACTCAAACAGGTCACAGAGAACATTAAAAATGTCTTTATATTTTAAAGTATTGCAAACTTTGACACAACAGGAAGCGAATTCGCATTGAAACTTTAGCTGAATTATTTTATATCTTCCATTAAATTTCCATTTAATTTTCTTTATCTTGTAATATTCGTATAAAATATTATATTCATTGCAGATCATTTATGTCAGGACTTTATGTGAGGTCTTCTCCTTGATTATATTCTCAAGGTTAGTAAGAGTTCAGCACGATTTTCACCTTTTTCAATGTCTTCCTCCATTACACAGCTATAAAGCAGAAGATCAAGAGCTCAGTTCCTCAGCCTCTAAAACTTACAGCATTTTATCAAAGCTTTGAATTTTGAACCCAAAACACCACCAAAAAGCCTGAACTTTGGTCTTTGGTTAGATCATCAACGCCAAACTTTATTTCAGATCTGTAAAACTTTAATGAACATTATTGCCAAAGCAAATTATGTACGCAAATCGACTCCAAACTTTATACAACCCATCGATGATTTCGCCTGGCTACGATGTTAACACGGCTTTTTACAATTTTATTGGCTTTTAATGTCTAAAACGGTTTTCATTATACACATCACAAACATACTCGTATGTCTGTTTGTGATTGAGAAAGTTACAGCTCGGTGACTACGATTTGGCTACGCTCACTTTTCTAATGACAGTTTAATTTGCCAACTTTTTATTTGGGGTACTACGACAAGCGCCATAAATAAGTCATTAACTCGTTTAAATAGCTTTATTAGCGGTAAATGATATGGCACAGACCCCAACACGTTTGACTCTGCTGATCTATGCAATGAACTTAGTAATTGGGTTGGATTTTGGTAGTCAAATTATGGGATGGAGCGGGTGGGATATGGTTAAAAAGTGTACTAAAACGCTGTGGATGGCGAGATAGATCCCTAAGGATGTATTGAGATGTAGAAAAATGGTGAAATACGCAAGACTCGATTGAATGAAACCTATTCGGATATCAACCACCAATAGCTCTATAATTTACAGAAAACCCCCAACAGAATCCCCTTAAAATCTGACTACATAATCATACGAATAGTAATAGTAACAGAAATAAATTTCCTTTTTGGAGTTGTACTTACTTATCACATCATGACCATGACAATCCAAATCCAGGTGATGGTTCATCACCAGCGACGGCTGTAATCCAGTTTGATTGTGATTGTGGTTGTGCAATGGTAGCTGGTGAGCCAAATGGCCACCAATCTCTGCCATTACCATATATTTGGCTTACAAAACCCCGGCAAACACACACTCAAGACGGGGTGGTGGTGGGTGGGGTTTGGGGGCGGGAAAGAACTCAAAAATATTGAAATTTTCGCTGCCTTTGCCTTGTCTCGGGCATTGAGCAAAGTGTGTTGTTGTGGTTTTTGTCGGGCTGAGAGATCTGATTGAATCTGAATTTATATTACTACGCGTTTAAGGCACTTGTACTGCTTGCATTCAGTTTCAGTTAGTTGGAGCTTTGGCACACACACTGCTTGCTTCTACGTGATTCCTTTTTTGGGTGATTATTCCGTTGGATAGATGGGACACACACGCGAACAGGTAACACGGCGAGAGGCAGGGCCAGGTAAAAAGAGTTTCGTATCCAAAAAACGGCGACGGCAACCGACGTGCCCGACGTTGATATTTGTGGCCCGGGGCGAATGAGATATGGGAGATTCGACTCGCTTTGCTTGCTTTGCTTTGCTTTGCCTGTGTTCCGGACACCGACGACGAGAGTGGAGTTCGAACGACGATGATGACGACGACAACGACAGCGACAACAGCGACGACGACGACGATCAACAGACGCGCTTCGTTCGTACGATGCTAACGGTGCTGAGAATTGTGAACGACTAAACCGGTCGTTCCATTCAGCTCGAGACGACAGCGCGCCGCACCACACGACGACGACGACGCGACGCAGCAGTCCACCCCGAAATCTGTCGCTGTCTGTGGCCACATGCCAGAAGAGCACCGCTATATGTGCTTGTGGGCTGCGTCGCTGCAACTGTTTGTGCGTGTGTGTGTGTGTGCGTGTACAACCGGTTCTTGTTGTTCTGTTGCCCTGTTGTTGTTGCTGTTGTTCTTGTTGGTGGTGTTTCATTTTTCGGACAACAGATGCGCGGCGTCGGTATCTTTTTTGTTTTTTGGGCGTCTCGAAGTTCGAAACAGGAACAGGTGTTTGTCTGCACTGCTCGCACACCGAATACTCCGTCTCTTTCCCGTGTGTGGGGTCTATTCTCTCTCTTTCTCTCATTCTGGCTTCCCACTCTATGGGATTTTCTAAATGGCGTCGAAGCGGGCCAATCGGTTGAAGCCAGTGCGCATGAACCGCTCCAGCTGTGGAGCTCGAGTGTAGCTGGAGCTGAAGCTGAACCATTGCAACATTCCACAATCCACATACACGGAATTAAGGCGCACATCCATGACGGAATGGTGGCAGGGCAGGGCCAGGCCAAGTCCCTCCAGTCTGCTTCCCCCCCTCTGCTGCTTGTCTGCTCGTCGCATGCCTTTTGTTTTGCCAATTTTCGCTTTTGGTTTTCGAAGTTTGTACTACAAAATGGTTGCACTTGTAAGCAAATGCCGCGTTCGCTTCGTTCACCCTCCGCTCGCTCTTTGGCATCTTCCTGCTCTTTCTCCCTCTTCCCCATCGATGATTGTTGGGCCGTGTGTAATGCGCTTGTCGAACTTTTCGGCATCCCCACCATTCACCGCTCTCTGTCTTTTACACTGCGGAGTCTCCGTCTCTGACATGCACAGGCATGTCTTGACTTGCTCGGGTTCTTGCGGTTCTACTACGTCTAGTTTTTGGTGTCTGTTTCCCGTTCCCCCACCCGTGTGTGTGTGTGTGTGTGTGTGTGTGTTGGGAGCTTTGCTGCCAGGCTAACATCATAATAATTATTGATCTTTTGATTTTGTCTTTTGGTTTTTCGGTTCACCCTACCTTGGGCTCCTTGTGCTCCTTCGATTTCTGGCTCCATTTCAGCTGCTCCTTCCTCGTTACCTTCTGCTTTTACTCCTTCAAGGCCCCTGTTGCAATTTTAATGACACATGCCACGCCTGCAAACGCCCACTCCTGTATGTCTGTGTTCGTGTGTGTTGGCCTGTGTTGCGGTTAGCAGTTCGTTGACTTGACACCCAGTTGCCAACATTTGTTGCCTTGCCTGATGATTTGTTGTAATGTCAGTTACCAGTTCTGTACCTTGCCTCTCTCCCTTTCCCTTTCCCTCTCTCTTTCTCTTTCGCTCTCTGGGGGCATTATTTTTGCCATTTTTATTCGACGCTGCTCTTCCTGACTGCCTGCCTTCCGCAGCGGGGTTGAAGGAGTGCCACTGCTGGTGAGGTCGCATGGGGTCGTGGGGCCTGTCTGTGTGTGTGTTGTGTAATCAAGGTCATCGAGCTTCAGTTTCAAGCTCCGTTCGGGACACTCATTCATAGCCGTGTCTCAGTTAGCCAGACGCCGACATTAGTACATACTTGTTACAGGCAACCCCCCCCCCCGAGCCCCACTCACACCCCCTACAGCAACCCACCATTAACCCATCGCTGCCGCTGCTGTAAAGCTTTCGCGCCATCTCCCTTGCACACACAGCGCAGAGCAGAGCGACAGCTGGCCAGCACAGAGAAACAGCTGACTGATGTTTCTGTGTAGACTCTCTCTTTCTCTCTCTCTCTCTGCTCGCTCTCACACTGTGTGGGTGTGGGTGTGTGTCTGTGTCTGTGCAGTCGCAACATGAATTCAAAATTTAATTAGGTCCCCGTCCATTAATTGGGTTAATTGAAATGCCGGTAAAAGTCAACGCTTACGAATTAGGACATGTCACTCAAGCTGCCTGGCTGGCTGGCTGCCCGCCCGACCCGGCATACGATTCCTCGCATATCGACATCGATTGGGGTGGCCAGGAATGTAGAGATAGAGGATTTACGGAGTAGAGGAACACCAAATAGTGTGGCTCCACTTGTTGGCTTGGCTTGGAAATAGTTCAGTTCTGTGGCTCGATTTTAATTGAAATGGAATTGGATTGTTCGTTGTAGCTCGATCTCCAGCTCTTGCTACAGTTGAATGCTGTTTTATGTTCTAGTTGTGATGGAGCGCCGCCAGGTCAAGCTTATGTAACTGACAGTTCATTTTACTCTGACTCTGTTTCTGTCTCTACTTCCATGCTGACTCCCCGTTCTGGACTTAATTGCATAAGTTGGCAGCATAACTTCTCCCTGGAAGAGGGTTTCAGCCGCACTGATAGCTCTAATTGTGATTGTTAGTTGGTAATAAGTGAGAGATGGGATAAACTGGTATAAGTGAAAGGTGTTCCAGGGCTGTCCTGTTGCAGTTGAAGGGTTCGGTTGGAGCTGCAAGGCGGTGAGATGGAAGGGTTGAAGTTGAAGTTGGATGGGAGAGAACTATCTTTATGGGACATTTTGTGGAATATCAACTGGTGACTGGGAGTTCATTGAAGTTAAAGCTAAGATTATAATGAAGTAATAATTAAGCATAAAGTAGAAATGAGACATGACACATTGTTTATGTAATTTCCATAGTTGTCCCTACATTATATAACGACATAAAACATATTTTGTAGATATTCAGCGAATATACCACAGATTAATTTTTAGATGAATCTCTCACATCTTCTCCTTCTAATTAAAATATTTGCAATACAACAAATCTTAATATTCACTTTCGTTTTGCCAAAAAAAAAACAACACGTATGCCCCAGCTAATGTTATTTTATCTGCTGTGTAAATATAAACACAAATTCGAACAAAATGCTGGTTTAGGCAATTTTCAATGTGCTGCTGCTCATTTGGCACCTGGAGGCAGCTGGAAGCCACAGCCAGAGCTGGTATTTGCCAAAAAGGAAAACCAGGCGAAAATGTATGTAAATAGAAGCAGGAAAAGCAGAATAAACACCTACACAAACACAGAGGAGAGCAAAGTAAAGCAGAGAAGAGACATGTGGAATGCTGGATCCTACCCACCTCTGACTTGTGGCTCATTTAATTTTCGCACTTTAGCGGGTCTCCAGTGGCAGCTGCAAAACCGGCAAATTCAAATAAACATTTTGCAATTTGTGTAGCTGCGGTCGGATTACACACAAAGTGAAAAGGGGAAAGAGTTATCTAAGCCTGTTTGAAATCTAATTTTCAATGTCTGTTCCAACCCTCCTTCCACGAAGCTCCCTCTATGAAGGATGGAGCTCGATGGAACAAACTCCTTCCCTTGGAGTTTCCCTTTTGCATGACGTAGCAGATTATTTATTGTGTGAGGTTGTTGCTTAAGTATTTATGCAACGTTCTCTGTGTGTGTGTGTGTGTGTGTGTGTCTGGCCTCGATTGTGTGTCCACCACCAACAACCTGCCACACACAACCCCCACGCACAGTGCCACAGAATAGTCTGGCGTAGCGGCGGCATAGCACGGAGTACAACAAAGTCCAGGAGTTGACTTTTATAGAGTCGCATGCACAATAAAGAAGTCTATTATCCTTTTCGCCAGCCAGCCAGCCAGCCAGTCAGCCAGCCAGTCAGGCAGTTGTTGTTGCGACTACGACGACGACGACGACGACGACGACGACGACTCCGACTCCGGGATCGATATCCATTAGGAAAATTAAAATTGTGGCAGAGGCAATGAACGTAAAAAGCGGAAGCAGCCAGAGCCCAGTCAGCCATCCCAGTCAGCGCAAGAGCCCGAACCAGAGCCATCCAGTCAGTCAGTCAGTCAGTCAGTTAGGCCAACACCAGTACCAACAACAACAACAACAACAACAAAAACAAAAACGGCAACCCAAAGGTCGACACAACGTTGAGCGGTTCTGTAAAGGTTTCAGTTTTGTTACGGTTTTGGCTCACTTCTGTTTCGGTTTTTGGCTCCTCATTCATCGACTTTGGTATGCAGGATGGCAGCGGTAGAGTCGGAGAAGAGGTTCTAGGGCATAGAAGAGGCTTGAGGCAGAGGTTCTGGTCGGAGGTTCTAGGGCGGCGTTTTTACTGGCTTCCCATTCGACACAACGTCAACGTCTTGTGACGCTGGCAACTTCCTTCCGGATTTTCACCATTGTAGATACTCTCTGAAACGGCGGCAGTATGGCAGTTTTGCTAATGAAGTAAAGATGAAATTATGAAGGATTGTTTTAAGCAACTTTGGCTTTAATGGACTAATAAATAGGCAAATTTCGTATCATTTTTTCACGTTTTTTGTCCTTAAATTTGTGCCTAAAATAATTACTATAAATTCTACCCATTAATTCCCGCCGCTTATTTTCTTTTCTCTCTATTTTCAGGGTATTTACTACTTCATTTTTCCTGTCAAACTGTTTTTCCTTTTCATATTTTCCTTCTCTGTTGTTGATTTTGAATTAAGTTTCCATTGGCATTGTGCTACGCCCACACACTTACGCACACAACGATTGTTGTTGTTTTTTTTTTCCCTATTTGCCACACGCCTCCGCTGCCACTTTTGCCAGCTGTCAAATTGTTGACTATTTTCTTCATTCGATTTTGGGTATTTCTTTTTTGGGCCAACGCGTGTGCGCGACATTTTCATTGCAAACAGTTTGTTTTTTTAGTTGTTACGATTTTCGGCTGCTGCTGCTGCTGCTGCTGCAGCTTCCTGTTGCCGCAAGTAAAACTCATCTGTCATTCAAAGTCACACAGCATAAAATTTTTGTGTTATCCATGACTTTTTCAATACCAATTTTGGCATCCACATGGAGCAGCGAACAGTGCAGTGGCAGTGCCATCCATCCATCTATCCATCCAGCACTCTCTCACTCTCTCTGCGTCACTGGGGCCGCCACAATCGTTGCACATGTTTGCATTTCAATTTGATTGGAAAATATATTTCATTTGGTTTTGCTCTGTGCGTCAGAATTTGAATATGCAAC